GGAATAGAAAAATTTAATACAACTGAGTAAGTTTTTAAAAGACAAAATTCACATATTCTTAAGAGTAAAAAAGAGAAAATTCAAATGAATAAAATCATAAATGAAAGCAAAAATTCAAATAAGTAAAGTATAAATAAAACCTCAGACAATACAAATAACGTTTCAGAAATGAGAAAGACCATAATGGATCACTATAAACAACTACATGCCAACAAACTGGGTAACCTAGAATAAATGAGTATATACCTAGAAATATATAATGCAGAAAGAGTGAATTAAAAATAAAAAGGTGAATGAAAAAGAAGACTGAATCAGTAATCAGAAATTTCCAAAGAAGGAAAGACCAGTTCCAACTGCCTTTATAGCTACTTTTTGCCAAACATTTGAAAAATAATAATACCAATCCCCCTTAACTTTGTCCAAAATATTAAAACAATGAATTTTTTCCAAATTCATTTTATGAAGTCTACATAACTGGATTCCAAAGCCAGTAAAGGACATCATAAGAAAGTAAAACTAATATTTCTAATGAACATTGTCACAAAAATCCTCAACAAAACTTCAGCAACTCAAATTCAATATTCATTAAAAAGATCATTCATAATTACAAAATTGTATTTATCCCTGGAATGTAAAGATGGTTTAACATATGACAGCACTTGAGATAATAGTGTTCTATGAGACTGAAGAATTAAAAATAACATATTTATTTCAACAAATACAGATAACATAACTTACAAAATTCAAAATCATTTCATGATAATAGTTCTCAACAAGCTGGATATAGAAAGAACATATTTCAACAGAATAAAAGTCATATATGATAAACCAACAGATAACACTGTACTCAAAGTTAAACTGAAAGTATTTACTCCAACACATCCTCGAACATTTGCTTCAACATTCTTGATTAGCAAGGATGTTTCAATCTCACCATTTCCATTTACATATTATTAGTTCAATACATTTAGCAGGAAAAAAATGTAAACTTTCCATTTAGAACTAAAAAGTCAAAAAATCTCTGCAAATAATACGATCTTTTATATAGAATCCACTGTAGACTCCACCAAAAAGCTATTAGAATCAGTGAATGAATTCTGTAAAGAAGTACATGTGTAAAATCAGCACAAAAAAGTCATAAATACATTTCTATACACTGAGAATGAACTTTCTGAATAAGAAATTAAGACAGTAATCTCAGTTATAGCACCAACAAAATTCCCAGAAGTGAATTTAACCAAAGAAATAAGGATGTGTAAAGTACACTGAAAAGCAAATCCTGATAAAATAAATTAGGGGTTCAATGCCCAGGCTTGCCATGCCAGCCCCGCCCCAGGGTGTGCTGAGATGGCAATTGAGACTGGGCATGGTAGCACGCTTCTGTAATCCCAGCTCTTGAGAGGTTATAAACAGGCGGATCACTACAAGTCTGATCTAGTAGTGAGATTCTGAACACCCTGTAGACCCTTCCATATATACAAAAAATAAAATAAAATAATAAAATAAATTAGAACAGATGCAAATAATAGGGAATATCCCATGTTTGTAGGTTGGAAGAATATCATTGAAATGTTCATGCCACCTGCCCAAACCTAGCTACAGATTCAGTACGCTATTAATTCCTAATGGTATTTAACACATGAGAAGAAAAGACAAGGCTGAAAAATTAAATAAAACCATAAAAGATCTTCAATAGTTGAAATTTTGAGCAAGATAAAAATGGAGACATCACATTTGCCAACTTCAAAAATATATTGCAAATCTATGGTTATCAGAATAGTACAGCACTAATATAAAATCAGACATACAGATTTGTGGAACAGAACAGAAAGTTTAGACATAAACTAATACACGCATGATCGGCTGATCTTCAGTGAGTATGCCACGACCACACAATGGGGTAGGTAGTTATTTCAACAAATGGTTTTGGGAAAACTTGCAAGAGAATGAAAATGGTAACTTATGTTACACATACACACAAAGAATCAAATCAAATTTAAAGACTTAAGCATAAAACCTATTATAAAACAGTAGAGAACACTGGGAATAAGGTTGTTATTGTTTCCTGGATGTGACACTAAAAGTATATGTAATAGAAGCAATTCTTTTTTCAAAAAAATAAGTGGGACTACCTTTAACTTAAGCGCATAGAAAACTTTAAATAAAATTAAATGGAAACCTGAAGAATATAAGAAAATATTTATAGCAATGTACTTTAAAAAGTCAATGACAAGATATAAGGAACACAACTCAGCAGCAAGAAAACAACACCAAATAAACAAAGGATCAGAGCTTACTTTTTCCTAAAGAAGTCATAAAAATGACAGACTGGCTCATGAAAATGTGATCCCTCACTCTCATTCATAGGGAAATATAAATAAAGCCACAATAAGATATAACCTCACAATCATTAAGAGCTATTATTACAAAAAAGATAACAAGTGTCAGAGAGGGTATGAATGGAGAATGAGGAACTCTGTAACCTGCTGCCAAAGCCATTTTGAAAGATGTTATGGGGGGTCTCCTAAATATTAAGTATTGAATTACCATGCGACCCTCCAACCCGTCTTTGGTTTACACCCAAAAGAATGAAAATGAACACTTTGTAGAAATATCTTCAGTTCTATGTTCATATAGCATCATTCACAGTAGCGAGAATGACAAGGGCACTAGCATATGATATGACAATATGAGGAATACGTGTATATGTCTTTATGTATGTATTAAGCATTAAAAAAGGAGATTTTACCAACTGGATAAGCCCTATGGGGACATTATGCTATGTGAAACAAATCAATTACAGAAAGAAAAATACTATATATTGAATCCAAAATAAAGTCAAATACATGAAAAGGAAAGAACAATGTTGGTCAATATCAGTGAGAGGAAATATGAGTGTCAAGAGTACCAAATTATAGTTCTGTAGTGTGAATAAACCTAAAAGATTTGACAGCTGAATATCATAGTTAAGAATAATATAAAAATTGTTAAGAATGCATTGTTTTAGATACTTTTAGTATACAGAAAGAGGTAATTATGTGGATTACACTTTAACTGGCTTGCCTAAACAAATTATTTTGTTGTTTGTTCAT